CCTTCAAACATTTGCTTGCAGTGAACCATCCTTAAGTTAGAAAAAAATTCGAAGTATATATTCTGATAGAGCACAAAACTCTGATTCCAACTAACTACTTTTGGTCTTCACTAGTTGTTTTCAAGTGGTCAAAAAGTGAACGAATATTTTGTGCAAAGACTTTTGCAACAGAGGTTAGTTGTCAAGAGTGATCTCGTCTGCATAAATTCATTTCTTCCTCAGTAAAATTTCGTCTACAACACAGTATTTTTCGTGTAACCAGCATTAATGGAAAACTCACCGAACTCAATTGAAGATATGCTTCTAGAAAATTTATTTCCAGATGGAGATTATTCAAGTATTTTCAATGATTTTCATCACTTTGATGATAGTAAGTGCAATCAAATACAGTGTATTGTTTTATATCAAGCGATTCTTTTAGCTATAGACTTGAATTGTAATAATTCAAGTAGTTTTTTACCGCCATTACCATCAGTTAATAACGATGGCATGCATTTGGAAACTATCGATACAAATGGCAATACTTCATCAGAACTCTTTCGTTTTTTACCAGGTTTGCTGTTAAAATCTTTTCAAAATCAATTATAACTTATATTTCTATTACAGATGAACAACGAAATACGCTTGCAATTGTTGATGATCGGCAGATGGTGCCAAATTCAACTTTTGATCAATATTCGAGTATTACAAATATGTCGATGCCCCAAGAAACAATTGAAAATCAAAATGTATTAATCTATCAAATGTGTCAAATGTGTCCAACGATGTTTAAAATGATCGATGTTTCCATGTCCGTTAAGCAGCAACCTAAGGCAAATAATCGTATACGTTATGATTGTGATGGTGTCCGATTTTTGCCAGGCTCGCGATATCATCCATTGGCAATTCATGTTTGTTGTTTTGTTTCTTCTCATTAAAAAAATTCCATATTGGTTCTTTAGATCAAAAATTTGCAGCGCATTGCATTAGCTAAAAATCAAACACTGGGTATCGTCACGACGATAGTAACAAGTACAAATAATCTCAAAGGTCAAACATTTGTTCATGCAAATGATATTATTTATCGTGGTCCAAATGCAATAAAAATAGCATATGGATGTGTTTTTGTTCCTTTGGGACCATCTGATAATGTAAAAAAGTAAGTAAAATTTAAAAAAAAACAAACAAATTTCTTTAACATTTCTGACTCGTAGGTTTCGACGTCTGTCAATTTTATATAAAAAATATAGTGACTATACGTTTGATCTTACACCATTTAATACAAATACTATGTTTGGAACAACAGAGAAATGTTTGTATTTTTATTTTAATTTCTTTGTTTTTTTTTATAACGTTTATTTTAATTTTGTTATTTTTAGATACAGTCCTAAATGATCAAAATATGGAGAAAGTTCCGAAAGTAAAATGTTTTAGAACGGAGTACAATCTATTATCATATAAGTTGGTTTTTCAACTTGCGTTAAAAGAAGATAATATGATATATATTTCAAATGTTGCATGTGAAACTGATATTATTCATGAACGTAAGTTTTCTATTTTAAAATACTAAATATAATATGAAGAGTATATTTGAATTTTAGAATTAATGAAACAAAAATCTGGTAAACGAAAAGCTTCATATTCAACTGAAAGTTTTTCAGAAGAGAAATGTAATTTCGAAAAGAAAATTTCGAATGCATCGAAAAGATTCAAGTCATCAACACTACCGTTGACTGAACTTCCGGTAAATATACATCTTCATCGAAATAATAGATTCGTTTGAAAAGTGCATAGCATAACAAATTTATTTATTACAGATTACACATGTCTCAGACCAGTTTATTGATTTCGACATAGATCATCAACAATGATTCTTGCTGAAAAGCCATATCAAAAACCTTCATAGAAATGTTGTCTTCCATGACTTTTGAAGCAGCAGCCAAATAATCAAGAGATTGTTTTCTTTTTGTATTTTTGTTTCGTAAAATAAAGTGATTTAATCATGAGAATTATCGAGGCTATGAGTGTGGATGTGGGTGTTTGTGTTGGTATAGGCATGGGTATGAGTGTGATTATAGGTGTGGGTGTGGATGTATTTGTTCCTTCTACCCACATCTACATCCTTTTTTGTGTTATTGCATCAGTGGGAAGAGAAATATGACATTCTTTTTCTTACAGTATGATTCAATAGAAAAATCGCGCAACTCGAAATCGAATGATTACTCTCTACAGAAAAAACAGAGAAGTGCTTTTTTTACAACAGAGAATCATAACGAAATTCTTTTGCAATGTTATTGCATCATTCTTAAGAGAGAACTGAAATCATTGTGCTAACAGTTTGAGTTCGCGACAAAATTCCGCGAAGTCGAAATCAAAAGTTGTTTTTGGTTGACAACAAGACCGATATAAAAGCACTCAAATTTGCCTTGATTCTCTCGTTTCATAAAGGGCTTTTACACGAAATTCAAAAAGTAGGTGGTGGAATTGATTCTTCTCTCTTCGGAGTCAGAAGTCACTTTTCTTGTGAAAATGCTTCTTGTAATATCGACGTATGGGCCTCGGGTCCTATTGTGGACATCAGCTACTTTCGAATTATTGTTGTATTCTAATCCATTGTTTTTCAAACAACTCAGCAGAAGAAACCTGTGTATACCTGCGATTTTCACTATTCGAAAGAGAATATCGAAGCACATTGAACTATGTTCTACCCTCAAGACCTGAATAGTTTGCTGCAGATTTTTTGCAGAAATCGAACTTTTTAGGGTGTGGGTGTGGAGTGTGGATGTGTGTTCATCTTTTCTTCATCTAGACCTACACCCACAGCCACACCATCCTAGAATAATAGATGGAAGTGTAAGCGTAACAGTAAAAATAGTAAAAAAATCAATGAATGTGACATAGTTAGGCATGCACCCAAACTCAATAGAAGAATTTGGGTATTTCAAACTTATCTCACTGACTATGAACTGTATCAATAAATTGTATCGCCATTAATATTGAAGGAAGTTTGTCTTTGACAACTAAATGGAAAATGATCAAATGAGCTGCTTCATTAAATGAGATATTCAAAGAGAACTGAACAATCCCCCAAACCCAAACCCACTGAGTTTGGGTTTGGGTTTTGTGATTGACTCTAGTATTTAGTCTAAGAAGGTTGCCGAAATCTCTCTTTTGGCATTCTATAGTGTCATCCTCCTACTTAAGTTTTTCATTGAAGAAAAACTGTTGCATAGCATGGTTCAGTAAATAAGGGCATTTTTCCTTATTTGGGCAGAAGTGACCCAAACGGTTTGGGTGCATGCCTAGACATAGTAGTCGTTACAGTGTTTATGTCACGGAGCAGTGTGTGGGTACGAGTTTGAGTGAGGCTGGAATGGTCGATGAGTATTTCTTCAGCTTAGCTTAACTAACATAAGATGCCTGAAAGCCTTCGATTTCCACACCCACACCCCAATCCCGTCGTCATCAACCAGCGCCTCTGAGTGACAGCTAAACACTCAAGGAAAGAACAACTCCCTATAGAAAGAGAACTAAACGTTTTCAATGGCTACCAAGAGTCTACATAGCGCCAGGAAGCTTCACATGTCAGCGAATCTCTGCAAGTAGGAGTGAAGGTGTTTCATCGAAAAGACTCAGAAGCGATAGCAAAGATTTTAGGGAACCCATTAAGACATTAGCAATTCAGAAAAGCTTCTGGCGGCTGATCCATTTTTCAGGATGATGATCAAAGCTTTTCAATCTCAAAGGAATAACTGAGAGGAAAATCATTGAGCTTCCGAAAGTCGGTTCTCACTCATCTATCGGCGTGGGTGTGGGTGTGGGGTGTGAGTATGGATGTTAGTCTTGTCTCTATTCACACCCACACCCTTCTTTTTGTTAATGATCAGTTTGACTTAAAAATTAAACGAAGGAAAGTTATTCATTTTTATGATTTATTGAGACAGGCTTATGAATTGATAGGATATGACCTACTTCAAGAACGTTATCGTCAAGTTATTTATCGGTTTTTATGAAACAAAGTAAATTTTTAGAAGAATTTTTCCTCCTAGGGTATAAATTATAATTCAAAGAATTTATCAGACAACAAAATTAGACACAAAACAACAAAATTAATTGCCTTCAAGTTTATTTTCAATTTGCTCAAGTTCTGCTGTTAAAGAATTAAATGACACTATAAATGAAAAAGAATTTGTTTTTAATATTTTTTCTTACATTGATCAAATTAATGATTTAAACCAGTCATTTAATTCTATTTATAGTATCAATTGATATAAAGAAAATCCTTATGAGAAAAAATATCTTTTTTTTATTAAATTTTGATCAAAATAATATTCCTAAAATATTTTGAAAAGCGAGTAGACACTCCATATTCATAAACTGCCTTTCTTTCATGACTATTGCCATTTAATTGATCTTGGTGGTGCAGTGAAACTGTCTGTTCATCAAGACCGATTGATTGACAACAGTGACCAGCGACAAGCGATTCGGCATTTAGAAATGTTCTCTCATGAACCGCGTCTAAACGCATTCGTCCCTCGTGTTTCTACTCAAGAAATATCACATGAGTTCTTTCTTATTGCTGATAATGTGACTCATTTCAGTTAATACATACAAAAACAAGTGCTCAATAGAGACGCGAGCTGTAATGAAAAAAAATAACACAGGATTACTAATTAACCTTCGAATTGTTTTTGTATTGTATGCTACTCTTTGTTATGGTTTTCAACATTTCGATGACTACTAAGCAAACCATTTATCTTTTCATTTTTCAAAGATAAGCTATACTTAAACAAACGTCTATGTTACTAATCAAACGACAAAGTCGGCTGTTTATATACTTGTGTCGATGATTATAATTGAATAGACGTCTTTGAATATTAATATACTATACCATCAAGCTTGTCAATCTGTAGCAAGTTTAACGGAAAACGGCGCGATAATCGTTCTTTCCTTTTTCGAGTTTCTACAGCAATAATGAATGAAAAACAAATTTATATTATTTTGGGTGAGTCTTTACAGGTAACTTTTGTCTAGGAACGTCCTTTCTTTCGAAACGTAGCAAACAGGACATCAGGCATTTATTTTGAAATACAAAAATAACTTCAAATATGTTGACCATCGTAATAGAACAAGCGAAGGATATATCAAAACGATTAATCTGCGAAATGAAATTGATGCTAAAAAAAGTGTGGTATGATTTTATTTCCTTAAGAGTAAACATTGTAATAATTTCGTAACCAATTTAGAAAAGTCTTAGATGGTCAAAAATTGATGACATAATACTGCAATGGTCCATAACGAGAATTCAAGACAGTGATGATTACAATGCTTATTTTTTTGCAAGATGGTCTTTGGCTTAGGGTGTGGGTGAGGCTTCAGTTCGACCAGATGTACATCCGTATCCGTACCCACACCTACATCCTTTGTTCCTTTAAGTATATATGAGAATAGTAGGTCCATAGCTCGTGTGTTCACACACGATATGGACAACGGCATAAATCCTTTCAGTAGAGGTTAGCGACGTTTGCGTCGCGTTACTTATTTTAATATGGTGATGACAGACTAGAGTCGCATTACTACCATCATCGATATAAATGTAAACTACACTACTCGAGCACTCTAGTTATATAGACATACTTATATGTGGGCACAAAAGATACGAGAAAGTAAAACAAAACCGATCTATAACGATTATTTACCGTTAGATTGCCATTTTATAGTAGAAGAATCTTTTATTCACATCCTTATGTTTTCTATAAGATTGATATAAGGCAACAAAATCCTTTAATCTGATCGCTCTTTATCTAAATTTTATAGTCTAGTAAATCGATCGTAGGTATCTACAATGTATGATTTTCTCATCGATAATGGATACATGTGCAGTCTATAGATGTTTAAAATTGATGCAATCAGCTCATTGTTTCAAGGATGGTGTTCATTCATGTTTATGTTGAATGATCAGAATCAATTTGGCCATTATAGTTTATATATATTCTTTAGATTTTCTCTTGCTTAATTATTATAATTTGAATAAGCAATAGTACTGGCGAGAATATAAACAAGAACTACTATAATAGATTATTTTTTTTCTGAATAGTATCGATTGAATTCAAAGATGGAAAAAAATATGACATTTTAAAGCCAGTTCATTTTTGGAGTTTTAGCCTTTTGTTTATAAAGTGTTGCAAGTTCAGTTTGAATACCTTTAACATTTTGCATAATTTGTTTTACTGAATAAAATACATTTCCAAGTGCTAAACGTTCACGCATCGATCGAGTTATATTAACTTGTCGAACAATTTCAGTTACTGACCAATTTAAACCAGTTGGAAGAATTCGATAAACGGCATTACCAGGATAAACATGACGACCTATTTTGGATTGTTGTATCCACCAATTAAGAAGAACAGGATACGATTGTGCTGGTGGATCAATTTGCCAATAAAGTTGTGGCGTCAAATAATCAACTAAACCTTGTTCTAACCACATTCGACTATCACAATATAAACTATCATAAGATGAAAGACCTGTTATACCTTGTGGTACACCATTTTTCCAAATACCAAATGGTGAAATACCAAATTTAACTTTTGGTTTAATTGCATGCATTCTTGTATACATTGCTTGAATTAAAGTATTTACATTAAAACGACGCCAATCATTTTTATTTAATGTACCACCTGTTTGTTGATATGCTACATAAGTTGCTGCATCAGGAAATTCAGTTCCATCACTATATGGATAAAAATAATCATCCATATGGATACCATCAACAGCATATCGATGAACAATATCTTCAGTAACATTAACAATAAATTGTTGAACTTCAATTGAACCTGGATCCATCCATATATATTTATTATATGTATAAGCATATTTTGGAAATCGTTTAGCCATATGATTTGATGCAAGTTCATAAGTTGCACCAGACATTCGAGCACGATATGGATTGAGCCAAGCATGTACTTCAATATTACGTTTATGAGCTTCAGTTACAATGAATGTCAATGGATCCCATAATGGTGATGGTGCTTTACCATGTGTACCAGTTAAATACAAACTCCATGGTTCTAATGTTGAAGCATAGAAAGCATCACCAACAGGACGGATCTTATTATACGAAACGATATTTTAGTTCAGAAAAGAATCTAGTTTGTCTTTTCTATTACCTGAAAAACAACAGCATTCATATTCAATCCTTGAATTGTATTGAGAATATTGATTAATTCGGCTTGTTGTTCAGTTGGTGTAGCTGTTCTTGATGATGGCCAATCAATATTAGTTACAGTAGCAATCCAAACGGCTCGAAATTCTTCTTTTATAGGGCTTAATGAAAAACAACATTTAATATTTACTGGTTTTGATTCACATAAACCCGATTGATATAAAGCATTAGGACATTGACTAACATCAATACATTGACCAATACCATATTGTGGATGATTATAAGTGTCGCATGTATCGGCTTTCACTTGAGATGATGAAAAGATCGAAAGACTTAGTAACCAACAAAAAACAACTATGAAAATCATTCTATGTAAATTCGAAAATAAAGTTACATAAAGCAGACCTTCGTATTTTTTTATGGCATCTGTCTATTTTCTCAAGATAAACACGCCCATTTTTCGAACCATCAGATCAAAAAAGAGAGAGCAATAACTTTCAAGATAAAAGCCAATTTCACTATCGATAGCATCGGCACACTGATATTTAGACAGATTCTATGTCCTCTTCAGGAATCGATCGTCAATAACTCAAAGAATACTTAAATAAAAAAACACTTCGACAATCCTAATTAGGAATATCATATAATGAATGTCATAGATCATCGCTATATAACTTCAAGAAATACTTCCATCACTTGAGTTCCAGTCCTCAAGATATAGTTTACATTTGCAAGTTCCAATCAAAAAAAAAGAAAGGGTCTTTAAGACATTGTTTATTTGTTCTCGCATTGGACTTGGATTCAGTTGGGTCGGGGTCTGCAAGTTCTGAAACCGACGTATCCCAGTCTTCTGAAAAACGTTTTGGGTGCGCTAGTCACCGAATACAAAAAAAAACGGAAAAAAGATACAAAAAATTTCAAAGTTTCGCAATGAAAAACAATGAAAGGCTTTTTAGATTAGATATTCCCTATGGTATAATAATAAATATCTTCTTTCGGAACTTGCTTGTTCATAAAAGTACTTTTCAATGTCATGTTCTGATGTCAACAAAGAATTAGTCATTCGTGTACACACATTAGAATATGAATAATTAAAATGAATAATTTGTCTACTTGAAAATATCAAGTACATGTTGTGTTCTCTTAATGGCAATGAAAATTAGAATTTATTTTTTAAAAGGAAATTAATTTACAGTTAGATGTCTAACAACATATATTTTGTAGTAACGACTCATTCAAGGAATTATTTGATGTTGCTTTTAACCGATTGCTTGATTCATCTACTTAAATAAAACCATTATCTTTTCTTTCTTTGAAGATCTACGATTTCTTATACATTGTCGATGAAAATAGTGTATTATAAGATCATGATTGTTGATTGAAACTTACTTCTATTTTTTTGTAAGCAATGAAGAAAATGAAATGGATGATGATTAGAAACGATTATTCATGTACATGCACTTCTTATGTAAGGGGCACATAATGCATAATTAGAGTAGATGATATTCCTCGCTGATTTATACACAGTTCGATAGAGCCTAAAGAGCATGTTAAAAATGCATATTTTTCATCTTAATCAGGTTACTCCTTCGGTGCTACAAGTTTCAAATAAGGATAAAAGTATAGGTATAACCAAAGCCATTTTTTTCAAAACAATTTTCATGTTTATATAATCTTTTTTCTAAGCGCTCTTTCAAAATACTTTATTTCCAATTTAGCATCAAAAACTAAGTAGAAAAATACTTTCTTTTTTAGGTGTAAAATAAGCATGGTAAAAAGAACAACTAGCAATATACGGCGGCTTACAGAACGTATTTATGTAAACCCTACTTACTATCAGCGCCAAAATATGATGAATCTAAATATTTTTGTAATAGTTTGTGATAGAAACAACGTAGAGACTTGGAGTGTTCACCATTTAGGAGAAAACACCTAGAAATGTCAAAGCAAGGCTGTTCACTAACTTTTAGTTTGTAATATAGACAATTAGAAGGACAAAGTCTTCTCTTTCGATCTACACAGACGTCAATTTCACAGTGGTTTCCATTTAAGAGTTACAACGCTTTTTCCTAAGATGTCGCTTTCAGCAATTTGTTCTTGGAAAAGAGGCCTTTTATGGGGCTGAGGTGAATGGTGATATTTATTCCTAGTTTCAAAGCAACATGAAAGCACAATTTCAAGATTTTTCAGATCCGTAGAAAAGTGATTTTGCTAAAATATATGTAACGATAAATAAAGACATCATTGACCCTTCTTACTACTAAAATGAACAAATGTTTGATTTTCTCAACAATAAAACAATATCTGAAAAATACTTGCGACAAGCCTATATAAATCGAAAGCTGTTTTTTTTTACCTTATTTATTTTGAGTGTGGGTGATGCTATATCAGAGTCCTGCATGGTAAGACTTTTTTGTACCCTATACCCTACTCTACTCTATAGATTTTGTATTCTACAATTTATCATACACTAACATTTCCATTTTTTGGCAGATGTGAACAAGAAGTTTTTTTTTAGAATGGTAAAATCAGTTCAGTTTTATGTATATTATTTATATATAATCAAATGTATATCAATATCATGCATTGAAATAAAGTATACAATGGTTCTTATATTATAAAATTATAGTATAAAAGACATAATAACAATCCTAAGATAGTTTTCGGGTCCTAAGAGTCAACATCCGGAATTGTAACCGATAATTGTAAACGATCGGTTAGATTCAATAGAGTAATTTTTAACAACCGGTAAAGGTAACTTTTTCCTTATCGATTGGTGTGGATTTTTTAATGATTCTTACATATTTTTATTGAAAAATTGAACATAAAAGTGATTTCTTTTTACTGATGTCGAGGACTCTATCGGTGAAGAGATACATATCAGACTATTCTATTCAGTCTTAATTCGTCATAGTATCCTTATTATATTTTCGCAACTAAATCTGATATGACGTCATGTTATTAAAAGAAAATTGAATAACTGCTTTATATTGCAGCTTTTAATATATTCTTTTGTATTTTGTACTTTAATAGCATATATTTTCCACAAAAATAAGATATAGAAAAGCAAATATAGTGTGAAAGACACATTAACCAAGCAACGTTCAAATTCATTCTTTTTGATCTCTATTGATTTATCATGCTATTGCATCTATTATTTTCACTTGTCTTTTAAACCAGGTAAGTGTCAACAGTGTCTTCGAAGTTGCTTAACACAAAAAATCAGAAATATGAACAATATCCTAATTCTACTATTTTTTACCACCCTTACCCTACCCTAAGGTTTCTTATCCTGTAGGGCTCTGTTCTGTGTGTAAACAATAACACATCTAGACAACTACACTCAAGCCCACATCCACCCTATGATTACAGCAAGAAAAAGACATGATTATTTACACGTGAGAACTGAGCATGCGATTCACATTTTACGTGCACGTAGATCACTTGAGAGAAAAACAAGGAATTTATTTTGACTAATTTAGTTACTATGTTCTAATAACTTTTGTCTCTATCTTAATTTATTCTTTCGTTTTTAATGGTTTGTCAACAATTCAAAGTTTACTGATAATGTTATCTTCTGAGGACGAATATTATGTTATTAAGCTTAACAATAAAACCATAAAATGTCAAGCTTTTATAAATCAAATATAATTATAAACATCTTTAAACAGCATTCAATCGCTTCAGATACGAATCACAAAAAATTACTCTCGCAGCTCTCTACATTGATTACATAGAACATATTCTTGTTTAATCTCGTTTTCATAAATACAACTAAAACTATTCCATACAATTGAAGATTTTTGTGTCACTGTTAGTTTAATTAATTTTGTTTATCGATGAATTTGTTAAATTTTCATTTTTTTGTTAACATAATGCTATTTTCAACTAACCGAAAAAGTTTTAATTTGATAAAGAAGAGAACATACAAATAATTACTGTACGTTTACTTTTTCTGACAGTGGTCAATAAATAGCTAAAATCTTGATTTATGGAGAAAAACTTAGGCCTAGACCAAAATAGATTTGGATTATCCAGAAGATTATAAAAAGAGAACTGTCAGTGTTGCAAAACATCATATAACTCTTTCTGTTTTTTGATATGACAAAAAAAAAATCAGTAATAAATTTGAATTGATGAAAACTCTGTATAACTATCCTTTGTGACAAATATTATCAACTAATTTTCTTGTTCGAAATTGGCAAAAATGAATTTTCTTTTTGTCTTATAAAGTTTCACGACCAACATTACACCTTAAAGAACAATAAAAGAAAAAGAAAAAACGACTGAACGGAGAAAAAAAATGAATAATAAATATAATTAAACACAAAAATCATTTAGTAATCTGTTCTCGTATATAACGTAAAAACTCTACGTAAGACATTGTCGATTCAGATTTGTCATCCACAAGATAACGTGTAAATAAATATCGATTAGATGAATCTTCTCTATAAATAAAATACATATTTAATTAAAAACAAACGATAATAATCATATAAAATTAACCTCATAATATGTATTGCAGTACCATGTGGTCGACTTTGAATAAGATAAGTTAAAAAATTATGAATTTTCGATGATAATGGATTGTCTAAGTCTGGTAATGAATACTTAAAACAAAGATAGAAATTATTAAATTAAGTAAAAAATAAAAACATATATTTTCATTTATTTACTGAATCAAATGGTAAAGCCGAAAATGTTTGAACATTGAATACATTTTGCACAAAATGATCACTTATTGCTTTACCTATATAAATATAAATATATTCACTTGTATCAAGTATATAAGCGCCATGTGAATCAATATATTGAAATGATAATTGAACACGTTCTGGTACATGTAATTCATCTTCACCATCTTGTACTACTTGACTCTATGAAAATCAAAATAACAAAAAAAAAAAAAGAAAATTACTATTAGTACAATTTCCATGAGATTAAAATGTAAAACATAATGTAGCTGCTTTTTTTCTAATCATAGAGAGATTATTTTATTCTATCTATTTTGAGAGACATTTTTTTCAATAGAAATACAATAAAGAATTAGTTTATGAGATATTATTAATATACAGTCTTATATCAACAATGTTTGATTTTACATTAAAGTGAAAATAAAAGAAGAAGCATCTATAAATCAATCAATCAATCAAATGGATTTGAGCATTTACCGATAAATTTTTTCGTTTGATAGGAGTCTAAATTAAGAAAATATCGATTTATTTCCTCTAAATTAGTTACATAGAGTAGGGATATGACTGAATAAAAAATAAGTTTATTAAATAAACAATTTCTTTTCAGTTGATTTACATTTATTAGTTCTTTACACATAGACAAAATATGGAGGAAATCATTTGTCAAAAATGATACATTCATTTTTAATGGTATAACAATAAAATTTATTGTTTATTTTATTGCTATGTGTTGTCTGTATAAAGCTGAAATTCTGCTAACTATAGATGATTTTGTTGAAAAATGATTCATTTCGGAAGAGGATAGTTTCAAGTTCATTTTATCTTTTTTTATTTTTTGAAGTAAAATAATTTTTTATATTATTCACTACTAATGTATGAAAATTAGCTCAACAGGAGGTAAAGGATTAATTATACATGTAAGAAAGAAAAGATTCAAAGATCATCTATTACTTTATACAATATAATAGTATGAAAAATATCAATTAAATTATTTATTTATTATAATTCATAAATTTGTCTAATTAATTTTCTATTCGAAATTAAAATTATATTGTTCAAGAGTAGAAATTTATAAATTTCTATATCCCAAAAGATAGATGAATGTTTATGAAATATTAATATGATTTCTCAAGTGAATATATTTTTTTGTTTTTTCTATAATAAATAAATATTTTTCTACCTTCTCCTCAATAGTATGAATTGGATATAGATCTGGATAAAATATTTGCATTAAATATTGCGTTGGTAATGTTTTACATAAATCTAAATAATATGCTCGATCATCAATTTTTGTTGAACTACCAGCTCGAAATGCTGTCTAAATAAAATTACAAAAAAAAAAAAAGAAATCGAATTTCTATAAAAGATTTTTTGCTTACCGATTTAATCATACTTAACATATATAAAGGTAATAATCGTAATGAACTAGGTACAACAAGTGAAAATCCTCGATTTGATGCATTATTTGGCATTGATGCTTTAACAACATCACAAGCAACGTTACATATTGCTTCTCGTGCATCTTGTAATGATGATGTTGTCGATCGATCAGCCGCTAAACAAAACATAAAATAGAATTCAAAAATAAAAAACAAAACAAAATACGAATTTTACCCATTTTTGCAATTAATGAAATTACTGCTTCTTGATCTGCATTTGAACATATATCCATTAAATTAGCACTAACCGGTAATGAAAGTGTATGTACTCGAATTCGTCTTTCACCTAATTGAATATAAAACAAAAAAACTCTTTTCATATTTTATATCATTTATTATACCTTTGCTTGATGTGTAAAGAAGTGCTATTTGAAATGTTACTGATTTATAGTGTACTAATGAATCATCAATAGATACTTGCATTCCATATGCAGCATCAGGATTTATATTTGGTAAAACAAGTAAATCAACAGAACGAACAAAACCATTTCCATGAAATGTATGAATTGAAAGTGCTAAAATTTACGATGATTAAATCGATAAAGATACAAAAAAAAGAAAAAACTAATAAAAATAATTCACCTGGTGGTGATCGCAAACGCATAACAGCTTCAAATCCAATTTTTCTTTGTAAATATCGTCTTAAATCATTTTCAAAACGTTCAACTTCATGTGGTGTTTGAATAGAATGAAAACCTGGATAATATTTTACTTCACCACCTGAATATTTTGATATACAACCTAGAAAATTATTCATTAACATATTTACATGAGACTATAAGCGTTACGGTGGTTGCTTTCTTCTTCTGTAATATGGGACCGTCTCAGGTCTAGATGAAGTTCAAAGGTCTCTGGAAGGGGCTGACGAAGAAATCTCACATTTTAGTTTACTTTGTCTCACAAGGGAATGTTTTTCAACTGTTAAATCCCTTTTGAATTCGGACTTTGTGCATAAGATAGGCCCCAGTGAAATATGAAAAACTTCACTGGGATCTATCTTATGCACAAAGTCCGAACTTAAAAGGGATTTGACAGTTGAAAGAGGTTTCCTGTTTAGTCACCATGATTATCCTACTACTTTCTCAATCTAATAGATAGGTGGTAGCGCCACCTTGGCCGTGCCCACGGTAAAATGTAGAGAAAGTAACGCTATCACAACAGTATACAGTAGAATTTAATACTATATATGTCATTTGATTGAGAAAATCTTTCTGAACTTAACAAAATTGATATAGTCAATTATTAAAAATAACTTAAACATACTCAATGTTGTTAAATCAATATAATGACTATTAAGAAGAAATAAATCACAAGCTATTTGTTGTGATGCATAATCAAGTGAAAGTTTTTTATAATAATCTGATGTTGGTCCAATTGATGTTGGTTCTTTTCCAATATTTTCATTTAAAGCACCGGGATTTATATTAGGTATTCGTGTTTGAATAACTGTAACTCGACCACCAGTATTATGAAGTAATTTTTCAGCAATAAGAAGAGCTGTACCTAATGCTGAATCTGTTTCATGATTATTTTGATAAACTTTTGGTAATTCATTAAGAAATGTTTCAATTATAGTTCGACAATCACATAATGTTACCATTAAACCATCAGGTAATGGTAAAAATTCATCTAATTTATTTTCAATATTTTCTATATCTGGTGCAATCATAATATGAAATGTACCATTTTGTCTATCAGATAAATCATAAAAATGTATTCGACTATCATATGCAATAAAACCAATTTGTGTACGTGCATCACCTGGTAAATTATTTAAATTTTCAAATAATATATCACAAAATGATTGAAGATATCCTTAAAATTTAAATTAAATATAAATTAAATAATTTGTTTTTTTAGTTACCTGTTTGAATAGCATTATGTGATACATCAAGTAAAAATAAATACATAGCTGGTTGTGGTGGTCTAGCCTAAAATTTACTAGAAATTAAAAAAAAAACAAACAAACAAAAATATTTTCAATTTTAACCATATAATCTGATGAAGCTGTATATTCAACAGTACCAAATCGAACTTCAGGTCTTCTACTTGGATCACCATATGTTTTTGTTATTGGATCAAATAGAAATTCTTGTGGTACTATAATAATAATAAGAAAATTAAAAAAAAAACAAAGGAATAACTAAATCAAATTTACAATCATTCTGACGAAAACAAATACTACAACGCCATCGTGTATTATCTTGGATTATAACAAATGGATTAATATAACTTTTACATGCATCACATCGAACAATTTTTGTACCTTGAATAACACTTAAACTCTTGAAAAATAAAAATACAAAATAAGACTATAATGAAATTAATTAATTTACTTCAAGATCTTTAAATGGATGAATAAGAACGCCAAGTGGAAGACGACTTTTATTAAGTAAATCTTTTGTTTGTGGAATAACATTAAGACTACATCGCATTACTCTACAAATCGAATATTTTCTTTTATTAATTAACTTAAAAAAAAATTGAATGAATATAACATACTCTGGACTACAATTCATTTGTTGATTTTCTTCATTCAATAATGGTGATATAGGTATTTCTTCAGCATATGGACTAACAACACTTTTTACTTTGAGCAAATCCATTAAATTATTATTCTAAAATATAATATTCTATAAAAATTTAATTTATTAACTATTAATATTTACAGAAACAGGGCCATTCATATTATTTATTTGTTGATTACCGGTATTAGTACCCATAGCATAAGGCATTGATTGTGGTAAAGATGATATTTGTCCAGGATATGTTGATGTTAAATATGAAGTAGTTGCAGTAGTATTTGAATTACTGTTTTGTTGTGAATAAGGATAAGTGGATGAAGATGAAGGTGGTGGTGGTGGTGGTAATGGTTGAGAATTTGGATTAATCATTTGAGGATATGTTGTTTGTGAAACAAGTTGAGGTTGTTGTACTTGAGAATGATAAGCAGATGTTGGTGAAGGATACATTGGACGAATAGTTGGTTGTGAAGACAGAGTATATGTTGTTGTTGTTGGTGGTGGTGGTAGAGATGGTATAGGTTGATGATTCTTAATTGATTGAAGTTATATTAAATATCGATATAAAATATAATCTTACTAAAGGAGGATTATAAATATTTGATGGTGGTGGTGGTGGTGGTGTAGAATTCATTTTTGTATTATAGATATTGGATGATGATATTGGATTTGAATTATATTGATCAATTGATGTTGATTGATATTGTTGTGTTGGAGGAAAAATTGATGTATTTGTTTGATATGTATGTTGATTGGATTGAGAAGATAATGTTGAAGAATTTGGTGGAAATATTGGAGGTGTTAAACCATTTGCTGTCAAATGAGACATTGGAGGAAAAATCTAAGTCAAAAAAGCAAAAAAAATAATGTTCTATAATATATAAAAAAAAACCTACTGGTTTATTCATTTTATCAGGAAATGATGGACCATTTGGTGGACGTATTGTTGCCATTTAAATCTTTTAATATCTAAATAGAAAGACATAATATTTTAGGTTCATCATTTAATTTTTTTTTTTTGCTCTATTGTTGATGTTGTTGAGAGTCCAGCTAACATCGATAAGTTACAGATGTAACCAATTATAAAATTTTTCGAAAACTAACGACCTCTCGTGAATCTTTCGTCATTGATTATAAACTCACGAGTTCTTATCGGTTAGACATTGAGATAACCTAATTCTATATATATTTTTTTTTGTTGTATGTTTGTAAATTTTAATGACAACAAATAACGTTGAAATTCTTTTACTTGGTACAGCACAAGATGGTGGTATGCCTCAAATACGTTGTCAATGTAAAAATTGTAGTGCTGTACATAATGGTATATTATCTCAACAATATACAGTTAGTTTAGCTATTATTGATCGTAGTACAAATCAAGTATGGCTTATTGATTGTTCACCTGATTTTCGAGCTCAATATAATTTATTACAAAATCATTTTGGTATAAATAATACATTTAAATTAGAAGGAATTTTTTTAACTCATTTACATATGGGGTATTAAAATAAAATAAGAAAATAGTTTTTTTTTGTTTATTTTTTTTGATAAATTTTTTCTAGACATTATGTTGGTTTATTTCAATTTGGACGTGAAACAATTGATTGGAAAGGTTTAAAAGTATGTTTAATCTAAATATTAAACAATAATTTTTTGTTGTTTTTTTTTTTTTATAATAGATTTATGGTACTGAAAGTGTTTGTCAATTTTTACGAACAAATCAACCATGGTCAACATATATTGATATAGGAAATTTTCAATTAAATACAATATTACCTCAAAATGAAATTCAACTTTCAATAAATTTAACAATTAAATCTCAAATTGTTCCACATCGTGCAGAATTTAGTGATACAGTTGGTTATTTTATACGTGGACCAACACGATATATATTTTATTGTCCAGATGTTGATAGTTGGAATCATGGTTGGTTAAATGAAAATGGTTTATTACCAATTGATATTGTTAATAATGTTGATCAAGCATTTCTTGATGGAACATTTTTTAGTAATGATGAATTACCAAATCGAAATATAAATGAAATACCACATCCAACTGTATTACAAACATTAGAAAAATTTCATGGATTAGAAAATAAAATAACATTAATACATTTTAATCATACAAATCCATTATATGATAAACAAAGTAAACAACGTGAACAATGTAATCAAATTGGTATTAATATTGGTATACAAGGACGTGTTTATGAAATATAATATAAATAATTGTAATAGAGTTTTATATATAGAACATATTGATCTGTTTTTTTTTGATAATAAATCTAAACTATGTACTGAAAGAATCGAAAAAAAAAAAAGATTTACTTTTTTTTTTTTTACCTTTTTGAAATTTATTTGTTTATCAATAAGCCTACATATTGACATAATACTTTATAAGTCTTTGTTTTTACTGTTCTCTCTTTCTTCGATTTTATTGCAACGATATAAAATATATTTTTGAATGTTAATTTAAAAAAAAAAAAGAAAAGTTTTGTACCTGAAAGAAAATCATCAAGATAATGCAATATAAAATAAATATTAAGAGTAATACTATCGGAGCTAAATGAATTTCCACCCCTTGGTTTTTATTACTATACTTCTTAATTCACTATATATAGTGAGAAAGCCCGAAGCGCGCTGCTTCTTTTGATAATTTAAAGTACAAAAAAATGTATTAGAAAAAAGTAATATTTTTTATTTCACATATATCTTGGCTTAGATTAAATCTTGAATTTCTTTTTTTCAAAATATGCACTGTGAAAAGTTCTACAAAATCTGTATGATTGAATTCCAGTTTACCTGTTCTAATGATTTTTCTTATACTTAAAATAAACAACTTACAGTGTCACTTCCCATAATATTGAAAATGTTTGCAACACTTTTTGTTTTGCATATATCTCGACTTGAGAAAATGATAGAATATTGAATTTTTTTTTTGTAAAAAGATGTGCCATCGTAAAGCTGTATGAACCAATTCATATAGAGAAATAAAAACAAAAAGTGTTCCAAACATTTTCAATATTATGAAAAGTGACACTGTTATGTAAGTTGCTCATTTTGAGTTACTATATTTGATGCTCAAGGTAAATATATAAAAAGATGTAGCGAGTTCTAGGCTTTCTCGCTATATATAGTAGATCAATAAATAAAAGAAATATAGTAATAAAAACAAAAAAAGAACAACGAGGGGAAATTCACTTGGCTCCGATAGTATTTCGTTCCGAAAAATTTATGTGATACATTGTTTCTCATAACATGAATAAAAATAGTAGAAAATATAATTGTTTTTTTTTTTTGTTTTGTCAAATATTGAATGTTCTCATCGAAAACAAAGCCGGATAATTATTGTTAAAATACCCTAGAAGAACCTTGAAATATTATTTACATTCTTTATAACAACATAAACTTTGACAAAAAATGGATCAAACAATAGCGGAAAGATAAGACTGTATACAAACATATAACAACTATCTGTTAACCTTTATAGAATAAATCACTAAGATTCTGAAAGAGAAGTTTGTGATCTATCAATTTATTTTAAAAAAATTTCTTCTGAGACCTTTTTTTATTAAAAAATATTAGCATTGTTTTTCTCTGATGAGATGTTACAGACACATGTCTTCAGTAAAGTGAGTGTGTACACTTTAGCACAACTCAGATTTCAATGAAATTTTCATACAACGTTCTTCTACATCTGACGCGACTACTATGTATGCACAAATGCTTCTGGATTGAGATATAGATTTTCCCAAAAACCTTGTTTTTTCACGATTTTCGCGGCTCGAAAGCACTTTTAAACAAAAGTAACAATAGATTTAGAATCAACACGAAAATTTGCATCGAATGATATATAGTTTTTTAGTTTTCCGAAATAAAAATTTTTTTCATCAATCATTCTTTTCTGAGTAGTAGAAAACTAATATTTTTATGGAAAAAATACGATTTGGACAAAAAATAAGTCATGTTCATGTGCTCTATGTAAATTGTCTCACCGTGTAATAATCAATTTAGGAATTGACTATTTGTTGTCGAAAGTATAGTTTTTATTTTATCAGATTTAAAATTTATACAAACTATAATTTATATGATTCTAATGAAGACTTATTAATATTTCATTGTAGAAAAAGTTTCTTGAAAAATTAATAAATATGTTAAATGAAAGAAGAAATACTTTTCTTAATGCAGATCATTTATTGAATATAAGTAGATAATAACAATTGATTTTACCAATTACAAGAAAAACTAATGGTTAATAACTGTTTTATTAAAAAACGATTTAAAATTAGACAAAAACAAAAAAAGGTCTTTGTCTACACTATATTGATTTTTCAGCATTTTAAAACAAAGGCAACAACGGACTCTCTTTCCTGAACCGCGCTCTATCTATTTGACAACATTTAATATCTGAAAATCATCGATATTCTCAATATATGCAAAATGCTATTGAGATAATGGAAAAGATTTTAAAAAAAAGTCTATTTTTTAGATTCACTTCATACAAAAAATGACAGTAACACTGATCTCTGATCTATATGACTCAATCTATCTAAAAATTTTATAGAAATATTTATAATGTCATATAATATCAAATATGCATAAAATGCAAAAGAATTATCTTTCATATTTGTTTTTCTTCTTTTCAAAAAAAAATTAAAGATGATAATTCATGGGGTTTCCACTTATTTCAATATATCAATCAAAGAATATCTTATCACAACATGTTACCACTTTATTTTATAATCATAAGTGGATTTGTCAATAGTTTATCATAACTATGTCATACGAATGACAGCAGCAATTGACCGGATACTATATTCTATCACATACAGGAAAAAAAAAGATTTCATGATGAGTACCATCGAATGATTAAACTCTTAAAATATTTCAATTCATCGATTTTAACACATAGATGATCGTTATTCATTTCACCTATTGAAGTGTTATATATATAGAATAATAAATCGTTTATATATCTGATAATGAACATTTATTGCATACTATCAAATTTTTTAATCTATTGATTATTCATACAAATATTCAAATAATCTTTTTTTTTTTTTTTATCAAGATAAAATTATTGTAAACATGCAATCAGATGAAATTTTTAATTCTCAATATTTTTCTTTTCAACATGGATTATAATATACACATAATCATCAATCAAGAAATTCTTATTGTTGATTATTCAAATTAGTTTGTATGTGTCATTCTTTTTTCTCTCTCTCATTCCGATAGAGAAAAGATATTGATACTCAAATGTTGACGCCGTGAAGTGGAAATAATTCAATTCATTGTTATATAATCATAACTTTGAACTTATTCCGCATTTATTTAATGATGATTGTTTACCAATTGTCTTAGAGATTTTTTTCGATTTCATTCTCATTTATGAACAGATGTGTGTCGAGAGTCGATACAACTGATCAAATAAACAATATTTTTACCTAATTACAACTAATTATTTCTTGTAAGTAAATTTTCTTTTTGTATAGAATAAGATACCCAACGGACATCGACACTAAAGAAGATTATAGTTCCGGTTAAGCTTGACTAGCCTCGAGGCTATGATCAATGTTTAAATAATGACAATTTAATCTTACTTACACACATTTCTATTTTTTCTGTTTTTCAATAATCAAGTCTGAATACAATATTTGTTATTCTCAAACTATATATAATATATTGTTTTTTTTTTTTTTTGTTCAAGAGGATATAGATTTTTCTTCTTTTTTTCCTATCTTAATTGATCATTCTAGAAAATATTTTCTATGGTTTCATTTTCTTTTCCCATGTGTACACCCTTCATACAGAAGTCAGTTATACATTTATTTTTTTTTGTGTGTGTTATAGACGAGACACACACTAAATTCAATTGTAGATTCATAATACACAATTAACAACATTTGATTGTGCAGCTGTTGGTATGCTCATTTAATCAGATCTCAGTTGGAGGTTTCTCGAAATAATAGAAAGAGAGTACAAAAAAAAAAAAAGTGCAGGCAGATGTGAATAAGATCAACTTTTTTTTGTTGTATGATGATGCCTATTGGGAAGTAGTTACACAGAGAGGGTAAACTTAATCGGAAGAAAATGTCCAAGCAAGTGAATGAATGATCAGTCTGATGAGATAATGGTGCGTGCCAATTTGCCGCTAAGAAAAAAAAAGATGAAACGTGTATGTATGTATATATCGTTGTTAAAGACTTTCAAACTGTACAATTAGAGACAGCATGAGGCATATCTTCCCATAACATGAACACAGACACATTGCATTCAAGCATGATGCGGAAAACAAATAGTTTATAACTCATGAAATTTATCATGACCAAAAAAAAAGTAGCTATTCGGTTAGAACATAAAAAACTCAGCATGATCAAAAATTCTTTTCCGCTACAACTCAAAGAATGTCATGTATATCTTAACTAATCAGTTATTTTTACCAAAAAAAAAGAAAATATATTCTTATATACGATAACATTTTCTTTTCTTCTATGTATAAATATCATTGTTAACCAGACTCTATGTCAAGATAATCGATAAAGAAGAATTGATGTCTATCGTTCAATATTCATCGGTCATTTTTTTTTTGGGAATAGACATTCTCAAATTTCATCAACTTATGAAAGAATAAGAGAATGAAAACATATTAAATGTCAAACAGATGCCTTGACCCTTAGCATAAAATAATTGACGTAATTCTTTTTTTTTCTTATAAATATTTATATTATTATAAAGCAATTTTGTGTTTTTCTTATTGAAATTATCACCATATAAAGTCTGATTATATTACGAGTCAAAAAGAATATTTTTAGATCTTACAATATTGAATAAAAAAGAAAAAAACGAGTCTTTCTATTTACACAAGACAATAGGGAAAAAAATATATATAGAGATCTTAAACATAAGTTCCACGATTTATAATAATATCTTGTTTTGTATCGGTTAATAATGAAAGATCATTTTGTATTGAATGAAATAATTTATTTGTTAAATTATCTGATGGATGTATTGTTTTATTCATAAATGAATATTGATATGGTGAATCAGTTAATATAATACCACGTTTTGGAGAAAAAAGAAACATATCCTAATAAATAAATAAACAAACAAAAAATAATTTAATAGAATTAATTTAACTTACTAAATGACAACTAGCAGCTGTTTCAAGTGTAATATTATCGGATTTTTCTGAACCATAAAGTGAATCAGCTGATGAACTTTGTTCTGATGATGATATTTGAATAATTTTTTCTTGTGTATTATTATTATCAATAATTTTTTTTGTTTGATTTAATATTTTTTTTTTTTTTCGACAACAAAAACATAATATAAATAATAATAATAATGATAAAATAAGTAAAATTCCTAATAAACATCCTATTATAATAATAATATAATCATATTTAATTGATAAAATTTGTTTTATATTATGATATAAATGTATTTTAATAATAGATGATAATTCAGGTTTACCATAATCATATGCTTCAATATCAATAAATATATCATTTTTTAATAAATCATACCAACAATAATTATCTGTTTCATTTGTACAATTAATAATTAATTTATTATCAATTAAATTAATCCATTTTGGCCATAAAAAAAAATTTTTTTTTCTATAACCAATTTTTCCATTATCATTTTCATCATAATCACTTGCATTTAATACAATTGTCATTATATTTGTTTTAATATTTATATCTAATAATGTTGTATTCCATATTGGTTTACAATCATTAATATCAGTAACAATAATACGAAATGTTCGTTGATTATTTCCACTATATATAAAAACATCATATGATGAATATTTTTCTCTATCATAACTATGATCAGTTAATAATGTTAATGAATTATTAGATAATTTTTGTATAAAAAATCCTCGATTATTATATTCTGGTAATATATGTATATATTCATCGGATGTTATATATGCAATAAATGTTGCATTAGGTAAATTTTCTTCAATATAAACTTCAGAAAAATTTTTTGATATTTTATTTGAACCAAATGTTATTGATATAATTGATTGTTGTATTATATTTATATATACTGTTGTTAATGCTGGTATAGCATTATTTGTACCATCAGATGCACCAATAATTAATTTAAAAATTTTTTTTGTATCAATATAATTTAAATTTTTTAATAAACTTAATTCACCTGTATATGAATCTATTTGAAATAAATCATTTTTATTATTATTTAAACCATCAATACTAATTAATGAATAATAAATTTTTCCATTATAATCTAAATCAAGATCATAAGCTGTTACTTTAAGTAATATTGTTCCAATTGGTGTTGAATGTGTTATATTAATTGAATAAATTGTTTGTGAAAATTTTGGTATATGATCATTAACATCAAGAACAGTTAATATTAATTTTGTTGATATTGTATGTGAATAATCATTAGCTGTTAATGTAAATATATATTCATTTTGTAATTCACGATCAAGTGTTTGATTAATAATAAGATATAAATCAAAATTAATATCATATAATAAATAAAATGGTTGATTTATTGTTTGATTTTGTTGATTATAAAGAATATTTATTGATGATATTATAACATGTCCATGTAATATATATGTTAATTCATATAATTGTACACCATTTGATATACAATCAATATCATCAGCTTTTGATAAACGAATTTTAATACCTGGTATATTATTTTCTGTTAATGATATTGAATATGTATTTGAACTAAATATAGGTGAATTATCATTTATATCATTAATATTAAATATTAATAAAAGTATTTTATGATTAAACATATCATAAAATTTAATTGTTATATGACATTTTGAACAATTTTCATCATATGGACATAATATATCACGATCAATACGTTTTAATATTGATATATAATTTGTTGTTGAATTAAATAATAATAATGATGAACTTTCTAATAATTGATATGTTATTGATATATTTGATAAACTATTTAAATCAAATATTATTGTACCTATTGGAGTTTCTTCATTTAAAAATATTTCTTGCTGATTACATTTAATTAATGAAAAAAGAAATAGTAATAGAAGAATATAGAGTAGACGCATGATGATCATCTAGAAATGATAGCAAATGAACAGACAACGAGAAAAGAAAATTGTTCTCTCTCTCTCTCTCTTTTCTCTTTCTCGTTAACGCCCAATGGTCGATACGGGAGAACATAAGCGAGAGAGTGATGGATTACCTTCTTTCTTCGGACACCAGTACTACCATTGACAGTCAATTTGTCGAATTTCATCTGTCTTTAAGAAAGAAGGAAAAAGAATAATTATCTTGGCACAGTAGGATGTCCTAATGAAAAATAATGTATATACGATCAATTAGATCAATCTTAGCCGTTCATTTCAACGATACAATAGATGTATGTATGCATATGTTCATAAAGTAGAACACGCGATTACACCTGCATATTGTAGAAGGAAGAAAAAAAAAACATCTATACATGGGAAACGCCTTACTAATATTCATAAATAATTGTATGAATTCATGCAAAAAAGTGTGAATGTATAAATAGATGAACTATCATTTCATCAGGCTAAATCTCGGCATGAATCATTATATGTGAGTGTTGTCCATCAGGCAAATGACTCCCAAGAGAAAAAGACACATAGAGACACATGCATACGTTTAGTCTAGAGATCATCTTTTTTTTTTTAGGTCAGTTAATCATAAATGATAATGCATGTTTCATAACTCCTGCTTTTTCCATCTATTTGAATCATAAAAACCTGCCGTCTTGAAAATGTTAATGATCATTAGTGTCATCATTATCTTATGCGTGCACAATGAAATATGAATAGCTTTGTTTCTACTTCCGAAGAAGAAGAAGAACACGGTCATGACCCTGTAACTATCTTTCTTTCTTTCTTTCTTATATCGTGTGAAGTAGATTTGATAACATAAAGCCGTCTACTGTCAAGAAACAAACAAATAAAATTTCTGTATCAGTTCTCTTGAGATTTTTTATCTAAAATATTCAATGTGTTTTATTTTTTAGTCATATCAACATTATAGAATATTTCTATGTCTGACACAACATGTACAATATAAATTAATTATAAATAAATTGAGTTAAACATTTCTTGTTCTATTACATCATAACATTTATCAATAAGTAAACGTGTATGTATATAGTATCCATATGATTTTTCTACAAACTATTGATGATAGACAATATATATATATATACATCGATACAATCTCTTTATCTAATGAGATCATAAAATGAAATTTTTTTGAAACATATATCAAGAATAATAATTAGTGAATGTTGACATTATTCATTTATTTTTTCTTCACACTATCAAATAAACAATCGATCGAAATGAAAAGAAAAAAAAAAGAAACCTATATTATTAAAATAGTATATGTCAAATAATGCATGAAAGATGAGAAACAAGACGAAGAAGACAACGAAAAAACAAAAAAAAATGCAAATTTGCATACATGACATCTAAAGGAGACTAAGTTAGATACGATCAATCAATGTACTTGTGGTTCAATTTACCTTCACTAATACCATTTCTATATGTATACAGACACTTGATGAAACTACTTTGAATGTGTTTCGTATTACTCTCAATCATTGCAATGAGCTCTTTTTTTTTAATCCAACCATGTATATGTATGTGTGTGTGTGTCGACTTTGAATGAATGTTTACATATGTATATAGGTATCGACTTACATCAATACATAGCAGTTCTCATCTATCCATTTAAATGATCTAAACTACAACTTTTTAACTGGAAGACTACAAAAAGAAAACCGCCATATATATATTGATGATGCATATCTTGCTTTTGTTTTTGAAGCGTTGAAAGTGAATTATTATTTCGTTCTCGTTTATAGACAAAAACAAACGTGTATATTATCATCATCATCATCATCAACAATGATAATGAGGATTATACACCTGAAAAATTCTACGTTTGTTGTTTTATCTTTTTCATATTAATGATTATATGTCGGCTGTCAGCTGTATATTTTGTTAGAAGAAGGGCTTATTTTCACACTTAATCAAAAAGTGAATTATTGCACTATCATTTATAAAACATAAATATTTCATTTAAATGAAGGCGGATCTTATTTAAACAAAAGAAAAACTATAATAGATGATATCAAGTTAAATAAAAGACTAGACAATAAATCATTTATCATATTAACACAAACGATTGATTATTGGTACTATGTTTGTATGATACACGCAATTGTACAGTTAAAATAAAAGATAATATGATTGTCTATGATCAGTTTTATGGAGATTTTGCATGTTTTGAAAACGTTATTAGTCAAATCAATTGACTGTTAGTTGATTTTTGATAACAACTATCATGCAAATAATATATATATATATAGTTCATTGGCAAATATATTGAATAGATAATAAAAATGATATCGGAAAGAACTTTTAATTACTATTGTTAACTGTGCCAATGGTTAGAAAATTTCTCTCAGTTAGATTACAAGATATGAAAAAACTTTTATATCTATATTGCTCACTGTAGTTAATCTGTTTTTTCCTCATCGATTCATATAATTTTAGTTCGATTTCCGTTTTATATTATAGATGATTTTATTTAGTCAAAAAATTGTTAAAACTTTAGCAGAAAAATCTAACATTCTCTTACAATTCATAGCAGTATTATTTTTAAAGTTCTAGGACTACTATACTAAGTTAATTTTTAAAAAATTTTGTCCACCATTGTAAGACGTCGTTCTTTTTTGATATTTACAAATAAAATGATGAATTTTTTTGAAAAATTGTAAATCAATGCTTGTTTTCTAACGAATATTGCGCAGTATGTTATTCAAAAAAAAACATGATAGAAGGCTGACTTTTTTTTTCAAAAGATGTCCTATTTAATGCTCTATCAGAATTACAAAACTAAATCTTTTCAACTCTGTCTGAAATTTTAATAAATTAATAAAGGTGAAGGTGCCTATTGTCACACTTTGGTCTCATTAAAGAAATCTGAGATACTTTGAATATTTTTAAATAGACCATGTCAAGTATATTTTATTCATTCTTGAATGCAATATTTGAAGAAAAAAAAGCACGAACGTGGTGAATCTACGAAAGCAAAAAGATTGTCATTTATTTTAAGTTTAACCGTAAAAAAAGTTTATGACAGTTGTGTCTATTTTTCATGGCGCCGCCTTCTAAGAAGAACTTTTTCTACTAATGTTCTTCAAAAATACGCTTAAAGAATCAGTGATTTCCTTGCAGAGATAGCTAATTCATACATTCTCACATCATGCTGAAACTGAAGCTGTAAAAAAAGACTTGAACTAAAAAGAATATTGCACGAGACAACATCAAGAGATAATGTTTTCAATTTAAAAAAAAAAGAAAAGGTGTCAAACAGAAATAATCACATATTACTGATCAAATACGAACAGCTTGATCAATTTTCTGTTGTTTTTAGTAAAAAGTTCAATATTTTCATACAGTATGCCATAGAGGAGGGTAAATCTAATTATCAATATTTCACACTGATAATTTCTAGATTTTCCAGGTCGCTTAGAATGGGACAAAGTGCGATAATAGGCATCTTCACCTTTATTGGTTTATTAAAATTTCAGAAAGAGCTAAAAAGATTTAGTTTTGTAATTCTGATAGAGCAATCAATGGGGCATCTTTTGAAAAAAGCTGTTAGCGCAATCCCTTGCGGGATTAAAAATTTGAAACACGATGGATCTAGTGTTACTAATTAAATGGAAATCGTTTTGTTCCATTTCTTTGCAATACATTTGTAGCTAACCGTTTATCTGATGCTTTAGAACTACAGTTTCTCTGTCACGGTCTGTGATGGGTCCAAAGCCTGTCTGTCACGGTCTGTGATGAGTTCACAGCCTGTCTGTAACGATCTGTGACGGGGGGCAGCGTCTGTCTGTAACAGTCTGGGGGGGGGGGGTCCAAATTTCTACCCCTAAACACTTCAACACTCCTTTCAGATCGTGTTTCACAAAAAAACGAGTTAATCTAATCGTTATACACTCGTTGGACTTTGAGAAAGATTTGCTAAATATTCAGAAGCATCGTTGAAATCTATTTAGCAATTGTTTGATAGCCACAATACACGTTTGACGGAATGATTTCGAGGCTAATGTATGCAATATGAATGTAATCTGTGAAAAAACAATAACAGAAATATAATTGCTTAAAAAAAAATAAAGAAACATACCGATGCGTACGTAAATAGTAGATTAAGGCCAATTCTACCAAGAAACAATTTCATCATTTGATGGTAGATGTTCGTCATGCCTTGAGCACCTACTAAAAATGAGTAGAGAGGATTAATTGACCAGACCGAGTTGAGTAGTAAATAGAAAGTAACTTGTAAGAGAGATAAACGAACAAGTTGAATATTTTCCTTAAATCGTCGGTGTGAAGATTGTACATTTGACGTGATAATGGTCTGTGGTTGATTGCCACTTGCATCGGTCTTTGTTGGCTGAATCTGACGATTTAAGCGTGAACGCACATTAAACACAGTTAGAGCACTGAATACACTCATGACAACTATTGGAGTCACCGATGTAATAATACTTTCGATTGAGAAGAAAAATTCATAAGTAGAGCCAAATGGTGGTGAGCATGCAACTGGATTAGTTTGAAATCCAATGGATGCATGCACACTATATATTGTAAAAAATCCTATACCAATAATAATCAACCATCGAGCTACACGAGGTGAACTCTGTTGACGAAGCCATGCATTAGGTGAAGTTATCATCCATCGATCGACCGAAATTAAACAGAGAAAATATCGTGAAAGAAGAATAATCCATTCATATATATATATATGCATTGAATTTGCAGAGACTAGAAATGTATTGCAAAACATTGTTACCAATTGAAGTAATAATAATACGCAAAAGACAAAATGAATCCAGTAGTATGAGATGAGTTACTAATAATGAAATAAAATACCACGAGCAAACATTTTTTCTGAGACCACGTTGTAAGAATATCCAAATATTGACCATATTGCTTATATTACCAAGTGCAAGAATAACTGGCTCTTCATACCGAATAATTAGTAG